AGGGGTCGACCTGCGTCCATAGTGCTTCCCCCCGCGTTACCGATGAGGCACGCCAAGAGATTTCGCGCACTCGGCCGTCTGCTTTCCCGCTGACTGTCCGCCGCTGATCGAGGTATGGGCGGCAACCGCGCAACGCTGGATCTGGTTCCCGCGGATTTCCAGGAAGTGGAGTGCGGTCATAGATCGCTGGTATGCAGACGGTTTAAGCCACCATGCTCGATTCCCTAGGAAAGCTCCACCAACACCCTGCTCAGCGTCACGCCTAGATGTGAACGGGCCTGATCCGGGTGGTATGATCATCCGAATGCCAACGGCCCTGGGACTTCGGCTTTCTACGAGTCTCAATCCACCTTCGTTTGAACAACAGCAAGAAGGTAGACATCAAGCAGGTGGTTGGGGGTGGGTGAGAGGAGGGGGGATCGGGGAAGGGGGGGGTTTGGCCTGACCCACCCGAAAGCCGATCCGGGATCGATGTCAGGTTTTCCGGACAATTGGTCCTTGGGGTTGTTGTTGCCGAGAAGAGTTCCGCTAACGGTCTGCGAAAATGTCCGTTCAGGCGGGTGGTTTCCCGTCCCAGGTTTTTTAGTACTACAGTTGCACTATTGAATTTAGCAGCGATAGACGTCGTTGGTAGTGGCATCGCCGGGCTTGTGCCTGATGGCGTCGTCTCCACCGCGACCAGGACAGGACAAGCTCAGCGGGGTGATTCGCCGTCCATACGAGGCGGGTGAGCAGCCGGCGTACCTCGGGCACCGTCACGGGAATCAATCTTTCATCCAAGGCAGGAAAGCCCCCTTTTCCCCGGAGCATCCTTGCGCCGACACCTGATGTCTGATCACCGCCAGGTAGGCGTGGGCCAGCATCGCCAAGGTGATATGCCGGTACCAGCCTTCCCAGCGGCGCACCTCGTACTGGTCAAGTCCCACCTGTCCCTTGGCCTCCTCAAAGCACTCCTCTATGGCCCACCGGATTCCGGCCACCCTCACCAGTTCCTCCAAGGTAGTGCCCGCCGGGCCGTAGCACGCGTAGTAAGCCAACTCCTCTGGTCTGGCCACGCTGCGCCGGACCAGCAGCCAGTACCCCTTGCCCGGCTCCCGCAGAGGCCGTATGTCCACGGCGGTCCAGTCGTAGATTCGGGGGCCCTTGGCACCGTCGCCCGCGCTGCACCGGACCCAGTTCGACTTGCCGACCTGCGACGCCAGCCCGTCCGCCCTCACCTGCCGGGGTCCCTTTTCCGTCACGGCCCACAGTTTCTCGTTGCGCTTGATCGCCAGCACGTGGGGAATCCCCTCCCGCTCCAGCCACAGCCGCAGGTTGCGGTCGCTGCCGTAGACCTCGTCACCGGCAACCCAGCCGAAGGGGACTCCCGACTCCACCGCCCGCTCCAGCATCCTCAGGGCCAACTGCGGCTTGGTCTGAAAGCCAACGCTTTCAGGCACCCCGGCCTCCACACGGCGCTCCCGGTCATCAGCCCAGACCCGGGGCAGGTACAACTCCCGGTCCAGCAGGGTCCTTCCTTTGGCGCTGGCATAGGCCAGGAATACCCCAACCTGAGAGTTCTCGATCCGCCCCGCCGTGCCGCTGTACTGCCGCTGCACCCCTACGGACTTGTTCCCCTTCTGAGGAGCCGGTCTCGTCCACCACCAATACTCCGTCAGCGCCCCCCAAGTGCTCCATTACGTAGCCCTTCAGGTCATCACGCACCAGGTCGGCGTCCCAACGCAGGTGGACAGCAGACGCTGCACCCCTTGGGTTTGTCCGTCGCCCGCCTCCTCGCCAGTTTGCCAGCCGTTCTTGCGTCCACCAAACGACTGAGCAGTCCCCTTTGCAGATAGTCCAACGCCCTCCGGCGTGGTTCGGGACGCCGGAACCGCCCCGCAACGCACGCAATCCACCCGTTCAACCCCTCAGACCCACCGGACACCTTCGCCCCCCTCATCCCTGCACACTTCCACCCCCTCACCTCACATCATCAACTGGTTCCCTATTCTACAATCCTTAATCCGCAACTGTAGTACTAGGTAGTGTCGTCAAATATTTGGCCCAGCTGACAGTGCCAGGATTTTGCAGATTGCAAGATGAAGTGGTTCTTTGGCCGTAAGCGATTGCAACGGCCCTTCATTGTTTGAAGTTCGGAAATGCTTCTCCACCAGATGGACCAGCCGATTCGCGGGGGGCCACACTGACGGAGAATCCCCGTGACGCTGGCCTGCTGCACATTCTCCCATAGAGTCCTCGAGAGGTCGCGGGTAATTTCCCTTGCCCTTGGAAGTTAGCGTTGTTGCGCCGGTACCAACAGTTAGAAGACCGGGCCCTTCTGCCACCCGATTACTCCGGCAATCAATAATACCGTTGTGCGAACCAGCAACTTCCACGTCAACGACCCATTCGGTGTGCGAGTCCTATGCCCAAGACCTAACTGGTTGCAGGGATTGTTTCCCACGCCCGCAACCAAGTACAGGTTTACTCTGACATCCGCTGCTGCATGTCCTACTCCCCCCTTTGTCTGTTTTTTTTAACCATTGGGGAAATCCCGAAAAGTGTCGGTCAATGCGGCCATCGTGGCTGCCACTACCAGCGGAAATGGACCCTCGCCGAACGCGAGGAACTGCGTGCGGGTGGGACGGAGAACAACTTGGCAGTCGGGGTGAGTTGTGTGGGTCACGGGAGTGGCAGAATTATCTTTTACCTTGACGATGCACTAGTCTCCATTGCTCCATTCCCCACTCTCTTGTAATTCTCCTTCCTTGACGCTCTTCCTTCCCTTACCTCCTTCTTCGGTCTCTTTTCTTTGCCGCCTCTTTCATTCCGCCAAGCTGAGATAAACAAGTTCACTTGGTTCCCTTCCCCACTGCTTGGCACGCACCCGCTCAAATCGGTTGCCTTGAGGTACAGATCTGTCAGGTTGGAGAGGCTGCCCAGCTCCGCCGGTATCTCCCCGCTCAAGTCGTTGTGCTGAGGCACAGACTGTCAGGTTGGAGAGGCTGCCCAGCTCCGCCGGTATCTCCCCGCTCAAGTCGTTGTCGCTGAGGTACAGTCTGTCAGGTTGGAGAGGCTGCCCAGCTCCGGCGGTATCTCCCCGCTCAAGTCGTTGTCGTGAGGTCCAGCTGTCAGGTTGGAGAGGCTGCCCAGCTCCGCGGTATCTCCCCGCTCAAGTCGTTGTCGTGAGGTCCAGCTGTTCAGGTTGGAGAGGCTGCCCAGCTCCGCCGGTATCTCCCCGCTCAAGTCGTTGTCGCCGAGGTCCAGCTGTCAGGTTGGAGAGGCTGCCCAGCTCCGCGGTATCTCCCCGCTCAAGTCGTTGCCGCGAGGTCAGCTCTGTCAGGTTGGAGAGGCTGCCCAGCTCCGCGGTATCTCCCCGCTCAAGTCGTTGTAGCGAGGTCCAGCTCTGTAACGCGCCCGTCGTCGTTGGTGGTGACGCCCTCCCATTCGCCGAGGGGAGCGTCGCTCAGCCAGTTGTCGCTTCATCCCAGTTCTCACCGTCCGTTGCGTTGTAGAAGGCAACCAGGGCTTCCCGGTCCGTTTCGGCGGAGCCGGAGGCCGCGGGCGGCGCTGTCGCAGCCGCAGTCGGGCGCATCGGTGGCAGTGGGCGCGTCCCCTGACCCTGTCGTGGAAGGCGTCCGTGCGGGGAGGCCGGCGTCTCCGGCTCATCGGTGGCCCGTTCCGAGTCGGGCAGTCTGTCGGCTCGGCGGTGGCCCGTTCCGAGGACTGGCGCGTCCGTCGGCTCATCAGAGCCGCCGCAGGCCAGCAGCAGCAACGGCAGAAGCAGTGCCAGGGCAAAGATTCCCAAGGAAAGTCGTGGCGTTCTCATCTAGATTCACTCCCTGTGTTTGCTGGGCCGGGGTGGGACGGTCTGGTGCGTCCGAAATCTAACACCCGGCGGAAAATTGCCTGCACCGCCTTGGACTGCGATTCCGAGGGTAATTGTACAACCGGGACGGGCGCAGTCGAAACAGGGGCCTTAATTCTCACCCTGCGGCGAGGTAATCCCTCGAGCTGGGGTTGCTCATCTGAAAACGGTCTTTGGGAAATTCGTCGGAGGCGGTCTGCAACTCTCGACTGTACCGCTTTCTGTTAGGCGTTAGGGGTTCTTATAACACATCGAGCATGGTATGCCGTATCCCTACGCACCAGGAAGGCTGGCATGATGGGTGGGGAAATTGCGGAGGCGGCTCCACGCCGACGCCGGAATGACTGGTCGGGTTTTTGCCAGGCGCGCACCGCCGCACGATACGGAGGGGGTTGACGAACCCCAGGACGAGCGGTTTAACGCGCCTGCGTTGAGACCGGCTTGGGAGGGGGTGAGAGAACTAGGCGCCGCCAGCGTCACCGCCACCGCCAGGGCCGCTCCTGGGAGAGAAGGTCTTGATTTTTGGGCCACCGTCCAAATCCCAGGAGTCGGCGCCGATGAAACCGCGGTAGGCGGCGTAGAGGCCCTCTCGGGTCTGTTCCCCGGGGGCGTCGGGGAGAAACCAGGGCGGTAGAGCGTTGATCTCGTTGATCCACTGTCTCGCTTCGTTCAGGGCCACGGCGTAGGGCAGCAGGGGGTCGGGCTGGCTGGGATCCAGGGAGGGGGAGACTCGGCGATTCCCGATCGATCGTCCGAAGGCCGACCATAGGCTGATCTCGCGTAACCCGGCCGGGGTGGGGATCAGGCGTCCTGAGGTCTCATCCCAAGCGTAGATTTGGAACACCAACGCTATCGGGATTCCGACGGCGGCGCCGGCCCACCAGGGCAGCCAGAAGTTGACCCAGAGGCCCACGCCCAGGGCCACGATTGCTGTGGCCAAGAACCACCCGATTTTAGCCAGATCACCCTGTCCCTGTTCTGCCATGACCTGCAAGGGGGGTTCGTCAAATATGCCCCGGGACTGCAGGACCTCGTCCAGATGGGTGCTGATCGCGTTCCCCTGTCGTCCATACACGAATGACTCCAAGGTTTTGGAGTTAGTCGTGGATACGGGCAGATCGTCGTAGACCACCTTTTCCCATGGTTGATCGGGTTCGAACTGCCGGACCAATTTGACGTCGGATTGGTAATTCCCTTCCTTGTGGGATGTGCCGGTGATGGCCAAGTTGCCCTTCTGGAGCATATCCACGAGGATGGACAGATAGGTTTGCGGGCCGACCTTACGGTTACAAGCACCGACACCGCCGGGGCCGGAAGGTCGCTGGGGAGCATGGTCAAACCCGCGGGACCTTGGGGGTAGTCGGTGGCGGGCCAGCGGGATTTGCGGATGCGGATGGAGACGAAAAGCAGGGCGAACAGGGCCACAGGTGGAAACCGGAGCGCCGCATAGAGGATCCTCGGTGGCGCGCGCGCCCAATTTACGGCGGGAACAGGCTGATGAGGCGGGTCTCTCGAAGACCCAGGAAACTCCCTCCTCCTCGAAATCCAAAAAACCTCCCTCTTCTTTCCTGGCGGTGGTCGGTCCGAGGATGACCCAGCCGCCGCTCATCAGAGCCGCCACAGCCTCAGCAGCGAGCATAAGAATCAGCGCTAAGGCAAGACTCCCTCCAGGAAGAATGGCGTGGTGTTCTCATCTCGCTCTAGTTCTTCGTATTCGGCCCGAGCGATAAATCGCGTACGCTCATGTCAGCACGGTTCAGGTCCAAGTCGGTCGCGAAAATCACCCTGCCAGATAAATCGTTGTGGTAAACTAGTCGTCGCCGCCGAAAAAGTCCGTAATTCTCAGGATAATCAGGAACAGGTTGATGAAGTTCAGGTACAGTCCCACGGCCCCCATTATCGCTATCTTGCCCGCAGCCTCTTCGTCGCCTTCTGCGGCGGCGTCCTGGGCCAATTCCTTCACCTGTTTGGTCTCGTAGATCGTCAGACCCAGAAATACCGGCAAGAGCAGTAGAGTGACCACCCAGCCGATGAAGCTCGACCCGATGAAGATGTTGACTATCATCATGACGACCAGGCCCAACAGGGCGAACCCGAGGATGGGCCCCCAGTTGGTCAGGTCTTTCTTCGTGGTCAGCCCGATCACGCTCATCGCGACGAATACGCCTCCCGTCAGCGCCAGCGCAAACAGAAGCGTTTCGACCCGGTAGGCCGCTACCCCGGACAACATCACCCCGCCCACAGCGGTAAACGTAAAGTAGAGTCCCAGCAGAATCGGCACGGGCGCCCTATCCGAGGCCCAGCGCATCCCAAACAGGATTCCGATCCACAGCACCAAGGCAATCAGAAAGCCGAAGAATCCGATACCCACCTGATAGGCCGCGAAGCCGACGACTGTGGTGAGGACCAACCCGGCTGTCATCCACATGTATAGCCGGGTCATGGCGGCGGTGAAGATGGCGTCGGCCGAGTTTGCGCCGAAATAGGGAGACGATGCGGGTTGGAACGGTGTTGTCATGATGCTATCTCCTATTCACCGTATGACAGCTCGTTCACGTTTTCGCCGAAGATGCCCAGGCATACGAAAACGAGCGGCGGTCGGTTGCAGCAGCGATGCGCCGTTCTACAGATGTATCCACCTCCTACCATCTATCCGTCCCTCTGCGCTGGCCACAGTGTCCGGCACCTTCTCCAGATGTCATCTTGCCTGCGGAGAAGCGCATCCAGTATTCAATGCCCTTCGCTGTCCAGGACGTGGGGGAACGCCGCCTCCAGTGACGCAGCATCGGTCAGCAGGCGCGAGTGGACAAGGCTGGAAAAGAGAGCGGCCGCGCAGGCCAACGGACGTATCTCAAAGGTGTTCATGATCCCGAAGTCCAGCCTGGTTCTGGTGATCCTGACCTCCTCAGGTCCGGTCTCGCTCACCGTTTGAATGCCCCGGTAGGGAATCTGGGTCACGTTATTGCTGAACCGGCCTTTGTTCAGGCAGAACACGCGTCGGCCGGTGGCCGCGACGATGCCCTGGTCGTGGCTTCTTCGCAGGGAATGCTTCCAGCCGCTCGATGCTCTCGCCATCGGCCATTATATGTCGTAGAGCATCTTGCGCTCGCCGTTGTGGTTCTTCTTGCCCAATCGCCCGGCTGCAATCCCGGCAACTGTGCGTCGATCTGGCGCGTCTTCTCTCGCGACGCCGTGATTGTTCCCTCCGACGTAGGTTCTCCCGGTTCGCCGTCCCTGTGTGCCTCCCCCCGTTAGTCGCCGGCCGGGTTGGCCGCGGCGTGGATCTGCCGGAGCACGCATTCGAACAGCGGCCTGGCCCGGCTCCTTATATCCTTCTTGCCGTTGTGGTCGAGGTAGTAGGCGTAGTCCTCGTCCGTGCTGCCGGAGAACTTCAATCCCGAGCAGGTCAGCCCCTCGTTATAGTCCACTTCCAGGCCCTGGTAGGAAACCTCGACCACGTCTTTGAGACCATGCCGGAGTTCAGCATGAGGACCGCCGGTCGGTGGCCACGACGACTCCGTTGTGACCCCGAGTTCAAGGCCTCGGGCCCCCATACCCATCCCTCCCACCCCGGTGGTGGCGTTAAAACGGCGCCGATGGCCATCCGGCCCGCCACGTCTCTCAGGGTGGTGAACTCCGTGGCGTCACCCCATCGGCCGCCCATCCAGTACTCGATGTTCTCGCCGTCTTCCAAGACCTCTTTGAGGATGCGGAGTTCACCTGGGTAGGTGGTGAGGTTCTCACCGGTGAAAAAGTTGAGCAGCCCCGCTATCAGACGCTCCGGCACGCTGGGGTCATTCCGCCCCCACATGGTGGAGCGTTCCCGCCACTGGGCATCGACCCGCTCCTCCTTGCCCATACCGGCGTAGCGGCTCGCCGGAGGCGGCGTTGTGCTCGCCCCGGTTGACGCTGCAGACCAAGCGGGCGTGGCCGGTGGGGGCGGAGCGGCCTGGAGTTCCCCCACCCGGTCGGCGAAATTCCGGGCGTTGCCATCCTGAACGTCTCGCATCCTGAAGGCCCCGGGGTTGCCGGCGCCATGCCATCCGCTGTAGCTCCGTCCGGTGAGGGTCACTTCGCCCTCGCCGTCTACGTCGACCGATTTCAGGGCATGAAGCGGCATCTCGCTGGTGAGCTTGTTAATGCCGCGCCTTTTGAGGAAAACGACCCGGCTTCCGGTTACCACGGCTATGCCGTCGTACTGCATCATCCTGTCCCACCGGCTGGCGCTGGGACGGAACGCGTTTTCCGGTCCCCAGACGCAGCCCACGAGGGCCTCGATGCTCTCGTCATCGTTCAGCGCGTCGTAGAGCATCTGGAGTTCGCCGTCGTGCTCCTTGGGACCCCAGCCAGGCTGGAGCTCCTTGCAACGGGTGTCGATCATGCTCCGTTTGTTCTGCATAGCCATCGCGCTACCTCCTATCCATTTGGGTGTCTCTACCACCCGCCGGCCACCGAACACCGGTTGCCGGCCATTACTTGGGGGCCATCCAGGACATCATGGCGAGCAGTTCCCTGCCGACGGTCTCCACGATGCGGTCGCGGCGGCTGAGGCTGCCGTACCCGGCGGTGTCGCTGACCAAGCAGTGAATACGGTGACCGCCTCCCCGGGACAGCAGGTCTACAATCATCTTCAGCTCGCGCAAGCGCCCGAAGCAGGTGCTTTCCCGCTGGAGAAGGGGGTCAGCTAGTTTGAGCCACAGGCTTCGTCGCGGCTTGCCCTCAATTCTTCCATCGGGGCGGCCGAGCTCACGTAGATGTACATTTCCTTCGCCTCTTCAAGGTTGCTCGCTGTGGGAAGCATCATGAGCATGCTTTGCTCGAAAATCTCAGGGTTCTCGGCGTTCTCGGCCATGCAGTCCCACGTTTGTTCCGCGATGTCTTTCGCTCCGCCCCCACCTCCGCAGGCAGCCAACAGCAGCACGGACACCAAGACACACGCAAGGAGGACCGCGGACCTAAACAAGGTGGCGTTCATAATTCCCCATCCTTTCGGCTCGGCTTTTTACAAAATCCTGAATTTCAGACTGTGGTGCAGTTGGCCCGTTGAGGTTTGCTCGGGCTCTCCCTCCCATCCCCGGGTTGCACTGCGGGATTGTTGCTTATGAAGCCATCGTCAAGACTTTGAGGGAATTCTCATAGTTGTATCTCTGCGGGAGCCTTTACGCGGTGGCCCCAGAGCCCGCTATGCCCGCGGCGGACCGTACCGGTTGGAGCCGGTATCGCTTGGCTGGACCAAAAAGTACAGCACCACCAAGCCCACGACTAGCTGGATGACCGCTCCCACATAGCTCGCCAGGAGCGCCAGCACCCAGGCCCCCGAAAACAGGGCGATAAAGGCCACGAGGGTAAGCAAGGAGGTCACGACGACGAAAGGCACCATCCACATTCCGGGTCGTCCGGAATCGTGCAGTCGCCGCACGGCCGCTGAGAGGGCGAGCCCGGTCGCGGCCAGCCCGATGAGCGCCCCCACGAGGGGGATAAACGATGAAAATATCATGGACAGGATGATGGCCGGGACGGCAATTGCTGCCCAGTACCACCAGAATTCCGACCGGGTCGCCCGTCCCTCGAAGTTGGTCAGGTTGTCTAAACCGGATTTGACTGCTTCCCGTAGTTCCATAAAGTCTGCTCCTTTTTGCCCGACGCCGGAGGGGGCCAGCGGCCAGGGCTCCTGGATGTTCACGGGCTCGCCATAATCTGAGAAAATCAGGGACGCTTCCGACCTGACGGTATTCAACTCGCCGGTGTGAATCTTGTCCGGAAACCTCGAACAGTCCTCTGACCTTTCGCGCCAAGAGGGTCCTCGACTCCTACCCAGTATTCGATTTCGATCTCACCCGTCGGCGATTCGCCTTCCGTTCCGCCTGCTTGGCAAACACCCGCTCAGTTGGTCATCTGAGAGCTTCAGCCGTGTCAGGTTTGCTAGGTTGCCCAATTCCGGCGGTATCTCCCCGCTCAGCTGGTTCGACAGGCTTACCATGAGCAAGGGGCAGGCTCCGTACTTGATACGGGCACGGGCGGCGATATGCTGTCCGTCCCGGCTGAGGGCGCGTGGCTTCAGCAGAAGGGCAGGTCGCCAAGGTCAGAGTAAGACAACTGGTCTTCCAGGATGCTAGGCACGCACCCGCTCAACTGGTTGCCGTAGAGGTCCAGCACTTCCAGGTTGGAAAGGCTGCCCAGCTCCGGCGGTATCTCCCCGCTCAACTGGTTCCCGCTGAGCGACAGACCTTCCAGGTTGGAGAGGCTGCCCAGCTCCGGCGGTATCTCCCCGCTCATCTCGTTGCCGCCGAGATCCAGCACCAGCAGGCTGGAGAGGCTGCCCAGCTCCGGCGGTATCTCCCCGCTCATCTCGTTGCCGAAGAACGACAGCTCTTCCAGGTTGGCGAGGCTGCCCAGCTCCGACGGTATCTCCCCGCTAAACCCGTTGATGCCGAGGTACAGACCTTCCAGATTGGCGAGGCTGCCCAGCTCCGGCGGTATCTCCCCACTCAAGTCGTTCCCGCCGAGCGTCAGCACTTCCAGGTTGGCGAGGCTGCCCAGCTCCGGCGGTATCTCCCCACTCAACCCGTTCGCGCCGAGCCACAGTTCTTCCAAGTTGGCAAGGCTGCCCAACGCAGACGGTATCTCTCCACTCAACCCGTTAAATCCGAGATCCAGTCTTAACAGGTCGGCGAGGCTGTTCAACTCCGGAGGTATCTCCCCGCTCAACCCGTTATCGTCGAGGTCCAGACCGGCTACGCGTCCATTTCCGTCAGTTTCGACGCCGTACCATTCGCCCAAGGGCGCGTCACTCAGCCAGTTATCGCTGCTATTCCAATTTGGGCCGCCGGTGGCGTTAAAGAGGGCAACCAGGGCCTCCCGGTCTGTTTCGGCAGAGGTCGGCCCAAGGGTGGGCAGAGGCGGTCTGGTAGCCGCAGGTCCAGACGCATCGGTGGCAGTGGGCGCATCTCCAGCCCTTGGCGTGGAAGACGTCCGTGCGGAGGAGGCTGGCGTGTCCGACTCGGCGGTGGCCCGTTGTGAGCAGTAGGGCAGGTCGCCAAGGTCAGAGTAGTCAAGGCTCAACTGGTCTTCCAGACTGCCTGGCACGCACCCGCTCAAATCGGTGTCGATGAGGTACAACGACCCAAGGTTGGAGAGGCTGCCCAGCTCCGCCGGTATCTCCCCGCCCAAGTCGTTGCGACTGAGGTTCAGAAATGTCAGGTTGGAGAGGCTGCCCAGCTCCGGCGGTATCTCCCCGCTCAACTCGTTCTGTAGAGGCTCAGAAATGTCAGGTTGAGAGGCTGCCAACGACTCCGGTATCTCCCCGCTCAAGGCGTTGTCGGAGAGGTCCAGAGAGCTCAGGTTGGAGAGGCTGCCCAGCTCCGCCGGTATCTCCCAGCGCAAGTTTCGCCGTTAAGGTTCAGCTCTGTACGCGCCCCGTCGTCGTTGGTGGTGACGCCCTCCATTCGCCGAGGGGACCGTCGCTCAGCCAGTTGTCGCTTTCGTACCATCTCTCACCGTTCATTGTGTTGTAGAGGGCAACCAGGGCTTCCCGTCCGTTTCGGCGGAGCGGTGGCCGCGGGCGGCGCTGCGCAGGTACACGCGGATCGGTGGCAGTGTGGCGGCACTGTCGCAGGTACAGCGCATTAGGTGGCAGTGGGCGCGTCCTCTGACCCTGGCGTGTAAGGCGTCGGTGCGGGGGAGGCCGGCGTCTCCGGCTCAAGGTGGGCCGTTCCGAGTCGGGCAGGTCTGTCGCTCGGCGGGCGGTGGCCTGTTTCCGAGGATGGCGCGTCAGTCGGCTCATCGGAGCCGCCGCAGGCCAGCAGAAGCAACGCAGAAGCAGTGCCATGGCAAGATCCCCAGGAAAAGTCGTGGCGTTCTCATACGATTCACTCCCTGTGTTTGCTGGCGCCGGTGTGACGGCATTGTCCGAATGCTAGCATATGTCGGGGGGTGCCTGCGCCGCACCCGGGGCGGTGGAGTCAATGCCCTGCCGGTTACCGCCTGACGTCCGTTCGACTCCACGGTGCCGGTGCAGGCTGTGCCCTCATCGGAGCGCCAACGGCAAAAAAACACCCGCCGGAGACAGGCCCAAGCCACAGTCCAGCGAACGGGGGGTGATTACCCTTTGGGAGTAACGTTGTGGCCTCGGTCGTCAACGTGGCAGACGGGGTCCGTTCTGTCCCCCGGGTTACGTCCGGCGGTCAGAAGACCGGTTGTGCGAACCGCGATATTGTCGTCTGTACCTCTCGGCAGCAGCGCGAACGTCAGCCCCGGTTGGGGGCGGGTCAAACCCTTGAGTAAAGCTCGTGACAATAGGGAACTATATCGAATTCTACCCAAACAGCAGAGGCCCAGCACTCGGAGCACCGGGCCACTCCCATCAGATAGCCATCGATGAATTTTCTATGCCTCCCCTGCATGTAACCGGCGGAGGTAAAGTTGACTCTGAACACTCTGCGCGCCTGCCCGAAACCCCCTCCTTGAGCAGTCGTTGTAATATTAGGGGAATGCCCAGAAAAGTCCCGGTCAAATGCGCCATTCCCGGCTGCCACCGCCGGATCAAGATGACCCTCGCCGAACGCGAAGGACTGAGGCAGGAGGGACGCGAGAACAACGCTACGGCGGGCCTCGTCTGCCCCGCCCACGTGAAGGCCGCCTTCAACTTCGAATTCGACGAAATAGACATCGATGTCCCGCTGGGGGAACTCCTGGTCGAGGCGTCCAAGGAAAATCCCCGTTGGCGCGTGATGTTGACCCCGCTGCCCGGGGCGGCGGGTGAGCCGGACAGCCAGTCCACGCCAGGGCGGGGAGGCAGGGTTATTTAGTTCACCTGCACTGGCTTGCAACTCCCGGGAGGATTCAGGCGTGTTCCGGAGAAGCTCCAGGGATGGCCAGCTTCTCTGTCCACTGCCGGGCGTGTTCCTGCTGATCAGGTCGGCGATGACCGCCGCAGTAGGCACGGCATATCTCCGCTCCTGCTGAGTGCAGGCGTCCGGGATATTCCAGCTACTGCAAACGTGTAGCGTATCCGCGCCGGTCAGGGGATGGTTGCCGTTGGCTGGTCCCAGCTGAATCCCTACTGGTCAGCCATTCTCCGGACGGGCTGCTCGTCGCTGTGAGCGCCTCGCTGGCGGGACATGCAGGCGGGACGCGCCGGCCACCGCAAGGAACGCCGGTTTTCACGCGGCCAGGTCCACCGGTGTCCAGCCGGCGCCCAGCACCCGTTGGGCCACGTCCATGGGAAACTCGCTCACGGGCTTGACCTCGGCGTAGGTTTCGCCGCCGTTCAGGACGAGCCGGAAGTCGGGGGTCCAGCCGTTTGGTGCGGTTTTTAGCTACGGATTGGTCCCTTATGCCAGGTAGTAACCACACTCGTTACCACTCGACTTGGCTGCTGTATCAGTTTCAGACGTCGTTCTCAGTCGATATTACTGCCTCGCTTCGCTCTGGGAGTCATGGCCCGTAGGGTAGCTGGAGGGGTTGAAGGTGTTGTCGGTGATGGGCCCTGGGGGTTCAGTCCTCGGTGGGCCTCTCCGTGAAGCTGTCCATCATCTGGAGACGGATCGTCTTCCATGGCCAGGTGGCCGAGGCAGATGGCGACTGTCTGGGGTTCGGCGGGCATTGATTGCCGGCCGGTGAGGAGAGTCCACTCGCAGAAGAGGTGCCATGACGTTTGGTAGACGCGTGTAAGCGGCGGGTGTTGGCGGCCTGGGCGTCGCGGAGCCCATCGGAGACGGCCTGGGCCGCATATGGTCGCGGCTCGGCAGCTCGAGGTCTTTGCTGGAGGTGGACGAGTAGTGACGAGAAAGGAGCTGAGGGTGTCCTCTGCGTCCATGGGCTCGGGGACTCCATAAGTTCGTGATAACACTACATTTTCGCGGGCCCGGGGCCTCTATCCCGGACCCGCACTGGCCTGCCTCTTTCACCTCCCTAGCGAGGGTGGACGCTGAGCGGCTCGGTCGGGCACTTGCCCGAGTGCCGGCCGCCGCACCTGCTGCAATGGCTCAGGTGCCCCTCGAGCTCGTGCCTCCGGAGGGCGCGGCGGTCCTCGTATGATTCCTTGCACACCCAGCAGCTGAACATCAGCTCTCCCTCCTTGCCCAGGAGCAGGAGCATGAGCTGGCCAACGTCGGCGCCAGCTCCTCGCTCCGGTCGGCGTCTACCAGCCACTCCGCCCGCAGTGTGGGCATGGCCTACGGACCACTCGCCGCCACTCGCCGCCGCTCTGGGCGGAGATCTCCTCCCGGCAGTGGAGGCAGTTCGCCCACTGCTCGTTGTGGTCGTCCAGGGCCCTCGGCAGCCAGCTCCAGGCAGTCGCCGCAGCCGGACACCAGCGCCGGGTCGTCGGTGTGGACCGCGGTCATGCTCTCGCCGCCGCACAGCGGCCGGTCTTCTGGGGCGTAGTGGACCGTGTCAGTCGTGGCAGTCATTCCCGAACTCGCTTGGTCATGGCGCAAACGTCATATGAGTGTCTTTATACGACACTAGCAGTCAGACCCACCTATAAGTCGTATAAGTGCCGTTATATTTCATTTGGTCCGCTCCTTTAAATGCGTTTTGAATTTCTGGTCCCTCAGCCGCCCTGCATCCCCTTCCCACAGGAGGGGCAGCGCCAGCCCCTGTGTCCCATCGGCCCGTAGCGGCCGCAGTGCGGACACTCGACGGGCATTTCCCCTCCTCCGTGCCCCTCGATTGGGTTGCGCTTTGTGGTCACATGACTTCTCTCAGCGTCAATTTCGAAGCTGTCCGCCCCTTGCTGTAAAAGCCGCTCTCTGACGGGTTACAGCTGGGCCATATTGACGGCCGTTCAGGACGCGGCAGGTTCGGTGGCGCTCAACAGCCTGACCCCTGCCTCCTCGAGCTGGTTCCTGTACCGGATGAGGTCGGAGGGGCTCGTGGAGAACCTGGCGAAGTCGTGGACGATGATGGTGCCGAAGGGCTTTTCGGGCGACAGGGCGGCGGCGATCATTCGCTGGAACCCGGGCCGGTTATCCGTGGCTCCGTTGTGTCCTTCGTCCTCGTACTCCCGGGCCACTTCGAGGCCCTGTTCATCCGCGAACTGGCGGATCGTTTCGAGTTGCGCCATGACGGAATGTTGGTCATTCGAGGAAACCCGGGCGTAGGACGCTGCTGTGCTCTGGCTCATCTCAATCTCCTGGAACAGTTTTCTGACGGTGTGCGTCTGGGTTATCCGGGTTCCTGTCCCGCTTGCTACGCCTCTTCTCCCTGTGCTGGTTCATCTTCGAGTTCACCGCCGTGGGCCCCGAGGTCCGAGTACCGGAGGATGTGCTGACCATGACCGGGTCGTGTGATGCCAAGTCGACTTATTACCGTCTGATCAACAGATTCAGGACGACGTTGTGGCACTGCAGCATCATGGCTTCGATCTCCACGATGAGATGGTGCCGCCACCGACGACCCCGAACGGGGCGCGGCACCCGATGGGATTCGTCCGCTGCAAGTGAATCGAAAAGCCCGTCCCCGGGGTCACTGCGGGGATATGACGACCTGTATCGTGGCTGGCGAGACGTCGCCCAGTGCGTCCTTGTCGATGTAGACGCTCTGGATGACACTGCCATCCTTGGTGCCGTACAACCACCTTGTGCTTGGTCTCCTTGGACTTGTGCAGGATCAGGGTCAGGGTTTCCATTCGCTTTAAACTCCTTCTGTCCGGCTTGCCTGTCCGTTTTGCCTGTCCGTTTGCCTGGAAGTCGCCGGTCCCCTTTCTTCCTGGGGGGAATCCCTCACCACACGGCCGGGGCAGTCCGCGGCGGTGATCTCCGCGTCCGGGAACGGCTGGCTAGAGCAGAGGGTGGCTTGGTCATGTGAGGCTGTTGAGGGCATGAGCCGGGTACCTTGAGGAACGCCGAGGAACGCCGGTCCGGGCCAGCATGTGCGAGGCGTTCGGCAATCCAATGCCGCACTGTCCCCTCGACGCCGGTTCATCGCCGCGTCATCGGCTGACAGCTGGATTCGGACGTCATCTCAACTGGATGACCAAGGACCCGGCAGGGTGTCCGAAGTGTTCCACCACCCGCCGGGCGCGCCCGGCGATCAGGGCCCCTGTCCCCATGGCAGGAGGCGAAAATGCCCGTGTCCCCGATGGGCCGGGGCCGGTTCAGTTCCCCGGCCGCCCTGGAGAAGTGGGGCAGCTTCCTGCCCCGTATTTCCAGAATTCTCTCGAAGTCCCCGGGGTGGCTGTCACGCATCATCAGGCAGACCCCCACCAGCAGACCGGACCAGGACGTGACCGTCCTCGTCTCAGAATCCAGGGTGAAGGAGGACGGCGTTGAGCGGAGGCCGCCGCCCGGGGCCGGACCCGCGGCGCCCTCGGCGCCCGGTGCCAGCAGCGCGGCGCGGTTCTCCGCCAGTACCCGGCGGACCAGCCGGTTGTCGGGACG